GTCGGGAAAGCTGGATTCGACTGGAATGGTCTGCCAAGACTGTTGCCTTTCTCCAGCAGCCTGACTTCAAAATGGGAAGCAATATGTAGCCAAATACGGGAAGTGAGGGGGGGGTGACCACGGTCCTAGTCCGCAGCAGAGGCTGTAATGGAAGCAATTTGCCGACATGGTGGAGGCACGGTTGATGTGTTTGTGCACTTCATATTTTGTTTTCACAGCAGCACCTGCAACGATTCTGGTGGCAGCGACCGGTGCGGATGGGCTACCAGTGACATGGCAAGCCAGCAGCAGTCAATCTTAGGAATGGGACGTGTTAGTTTGTTCAGGCCTTTCTTCGAGCAAGCGCGCTTGCAAGCTCGCTCGCTCAGGACCGCGAGCTGTCTCTCGCGCTCACCATGAGCAAACACATTCAAACCTTGATTATCAGAGGATATTACACCAGAGAAAACCGAATCACAAAGAACGATAATGTAATGCAGGGCACAGCTGGAGGAAAACGAAGTAGTGAGACAGGTATAATGAAATACCAAGGGAGAAAGGGAGAGAGAGAGAGAGAGAGAGGAGAGAGAATGAGAGGGAAATATTGCACAACATGGAGGAACACATCTGACATAACGGTTAGATCATTATTACGCATGAAAGAGCAAGACACATATAAGGAACGACCAAGAGAGAGAGAGAGGGAGAGAGAGAGAGGGGGGAATGTGAGAGACAGGTAGAGAGAGAGAGAGACAGACATTGCAGAACACGGAGAAAAAAAACATTAGCATTAGAAAAAAAAATAACAAGAGAGAGAGAGAGAAAGGGGGCGCCCACCGACAGCCGCCCACCGAGAGCCGCCTACCGAAATCGGCTGGCTACTTTCCGCCAAACTCATGAGGGGGCGCCCACCGAGAGCTGCCCACCGAGAGCCGCCCACCGAAATCGGCCCGCTACTTTCGCCAGTCTCTTCTGTGTCCGCTAGGACCCCTTCAATGTAAACACGGATTGGGGAACCTACGCAAGCGGCAGCTGGCGTGATCGATTGGCGCATCTGCATCCAGGGCATGGAACACAGCAGGGTTCGATCGGCGGGGGAAGCCACTTCAGCTGGTAGGACACGGCAGGAGCGTAAGCCCATCCCCTCGCGTTCCCCATCCCTGAGGGCTCCGCTCTCTGACTGAAGGGCCAAGCCCCTTGATGCTGAAGATGGGGTCGGCTCCCAGCCCTGACGCCACTGAGGACTTGGCTTCACGCCGCCCGTTCCCAGCTACTGCAGTGGAGCCCGAATCTCAGAGCGCTCACCTTTGCTCCGCCCTGCGACAGGCACTCGCGCCCTCCCTGGCGCCGCGCAGGGCCGGCAACGAGCCGAAGGTCTGGAGGGCGGGCGGTGCGTCGCGGAGGCGCCTCTGCTCGCGGCGGGCCCGGCCGCGCCCCCGAGGGGCAGGCGCCCGAGCTCGGGCACCGCCCGTGGCGCAGCAGCACCGGGCCCCGCCCTCGCGGCAGCCCTCTCCCCGCGGCTGCCCCCCGCTCGCCCTTTCCGCCCGCTCCGGCCCGCCCGCGCGGAGCGAGCGCGCCCGCGCTGCGGCCCAGAGGCGAGGCATCGCCCACGCGTCCTGCCCCTCCCCCTCCTCCCCCTCCTCCTCCTCCTCCTCCTCCTCTTCCTCCTCCTCCTCCTCCTCCCTCCTCCTCCTCCTCCTCCTCCTCCTCCTCCTCCTCCTCCTCCTCCTCCTCCTCCTCCCCCTCGGTGCCCGAGGGCGCGCCGCTCCAGGCTCTGCGTTCGACCCCGGGGGGCCGCGGGCTGGGGCGGGGCGGCGTCCGGGCGCGGGGATCCGCGCCCGCCGCGGCAGGGCGCCGAGGGGGCGGCGCCCCATGTGCAGAGGGGTGCTCTGCTCTCCTCGGCGGCCAATGGTGCCTTCGCGCGTCGCGTGAAGGTCGGCCTGGATTCCGTTGCTGGCAGGAGAGGTGCACACGCAGCTTCAGCACCGGCGGGAGAGACGGGTTTGCAGCAGTAGCGCTCTCCCCCACCTCCGCCTCCAGGTGCCTCGGAGGCCCCACAAGGAGGGCCGTGCCGGCAGCACGCAGTTTGCACTGTCCGTGCGCAGGGACTGGGAAGGCCTTCGCGGCAGAGGCCATGACGACCGCTTCGAGGGCCGTAGCCTCTGCCTGCGGCGCCGCCTCCTCCTCCGTCCTGGCGGGGCATCTCGCTGGTCCGCGCCCGCTCTACCCCCTCCCTCCCCGCGCGTGCGAGCGCGGGGCTGCTGTGGGGGACCTGGTGCATCTCTCTCCTGCCATATCGTTGATGCTCTTCTTCTGCCTCCTCTCCCAGCTGGCCAGGTCTACTACCAGCCGGCCATGTACGCGGTGCCCGCGACATCTCTCCCCTTTTGTGCAGTCCGCCTCTGTGTGCAAGCTCCTAGTTGGCATGGTGTTCTTTCGTTCTTGCCCATTCGATACCGCTCTGCAGCACCAGGGCTGCCAGACAGCTAGAAAGAGCAGCACCAAGGAAACTTCGTCTCGGGGTAAGCAGAGATCGGCGGCGAGCGAGGTGGGGAAGTGAGAAGGAGAAGTCCTTCTCAGAAGGCGGCGGGACTTCTCAGAAGTCCCGCCGCCTTCTGCGAGTTCTCCGTGTCTTCGAGGAAGGCTTGGAAAATTTCTCGGAAGGCTGGGGGCGTTCTGAGAAGGCCCGCCCCTTCTCGCTTCCCCCCTAGGCTCGCCGCCAAAGAGAGACACAGCTTGGCATTGTTTCCTCACGCTGCCAGCAGGCATGCAGTCAACCCGCATGGTAAGGATGGGCAACTTTCCCAAGGGTACCGTTGCATCCTAGCCTCCTGGGTCGATCCTTGGCCACTTTCGGAGACCGCGCCCCGCTCGGAAAGCTCTGAAATGGCCTCCCAGTGCCATTGCTTCCTCATCGGGCATCCTTACTATACTTAAGTCGGGCATGTCCCTCAACAGGAGGAATATTCAAAAATATGCAAAAATAGTCTGGGGACGATTGTTTGACAATGTTTGAGCATGTTTTGAGTAGTTCTGACTGTTGTTCATTTTTCTTATACAATCCGCTTATAGGGGGACATGCCCATCCTAATACTATACGGGTTCATTGTACTCATGGACAGCAGCGCCGCCCGCGAAGGCCTTGCCACAAGTAGGACCAAAGCGGTTCCTACGCGAACATCTCGACGCGCTCCAGGCATCGGCATCGGCGAGATAGGTTGTTTCGATACGCCACTTAGCTGTCTTCATACGCCCGCTTTGATGCGCAACGCGTACCGTGCTCCAAACGTCAGTGTCAATACGCTTCATGTTGGCCCAGCGTATTGGCCCACGTTTTGACGAACGTATCGCGTCAAACCTATTTGTTTCAGTATACGTGTTGAGCTCCGTATCAATGCGCTACATGTTGCGTGTTGCGTACCAGGGCAGCTAAGCTCGGCCCCAGCCGAGCCCTCCATGTTCCCCACAGATCGGATGCTGGAGAATTAGAACAAAGCGACCCCGCCCTGGACATCGGTTTCGGTTTCGGTTTGTGTCGCGTGCGCGGGCAAGGCGAAGCTGCGCGAGGCTGACGATGTGTCGTAGTTAAGGTCAAGTCGGACAACAAGTTTCCGTCCCGGTCCCGCGGTTGTTCGCCGTGGTTGTCTCACGTTTGCTTTGTGGTTGTCTCGTGGTTGCCCCGCGATTGTCTTGTCGGTTGTCCCGTGGGTTGACTTGTGGTTGTCCCGTGAGTTGGTTGTCCCACGGTTTGCCCCGTGGTTGTCCCGTGGGCTGTCTCGTGGTTGTCGCGTGGGTCGTATTGTGGTTGTCTTGTGGATAGGCGTCCCGCGGATTGTCCCGTGGTTGTCTTATTGGTTGTCCCTGGCCGTTGCACGTTTCGTTTGGGTTGACAGCTCCTCTTTCACACCACCCATTCCTGCCCTTGACAGGGTGCACGGTTTGTATGTACAGTGTGCCTTCGACAACGTTCGATCGCAATTAGCATTTCTATCTGCTGCTCGCGCCTAAGGACCCTCTGCGTCGCTGACTTAAAGTGGTTTGCTGTGTTGCGTTTTGCTGTGGTATGCTGTGTTGTGTCATGTCGTGTCGTGTTAGGTGTGCCTCACTGTGTCAAGTGAGCACTTTTTCAGGTGCTGCGTGTGTGCCGCAGCAGCTGCAGCAACCGCGGCGACGAGAATGTGCGCAGAAACGGGGCACCCGGCTCCCCCAGCTGGACGGCTGCCGCTCGGCAGGTGCAGCACGACAGCGTGTTGCCCTCCCCGAAGAGCGCCGTGCCCTTCGCCAAGCAGCTCAGCAACGAGGCTGCGACTCCTCCCTCTTGCATAGTCCATCGGCTAGACAGCCAGACATTTCGCTCTGAACTCCATACCATCATGGCGGCGCGTCCACTGATAGATACACTCGGGCAGTGAATGTGGTGGGCAGTTGTTGGCACGCAAGTATTGTAGAAGGCGCAACACGCCGCAGATTTGCCACTGATTCCTTAGCCCCTGCATGGCTTTGTATCATTTATGCAGCCAGTGTGCCACATCGTCAGGCACGCGTCTGCCGTCCAGGCCAGGGCCCAATGCTTCCCTGGTCGTTCTGCGGTTTTCCCCACTCGCCGTTCGGCCCCTCCCTCGCCACCTCTCTTCTGCCCTTCGCTTTCCTGAATCCGCCACGCCCCCACCTTCCTTCTCTGCCTGCCTTCTCTATCTCCTTCGACACTTTCACCCCGCCTCCACGTGTTGGAATCCTTGCTCTCTCTGTCCATGCCGGTGCCATCTCTTCCCTTTGATGCCTCCCTTCCGCTCGCTGCATCCAGGCACCAGGCCAACTGGGCCATCTGGTGTCGCCGCTTCCAGCGGCGGGCAGCCCAAAGACGAGGCTGGGGCGGGGGCCGAGAGGAGCGGGGAAGTGGGTCGCGAGGAGTCCAGCCCCGCGATTGGGGGGCGGAGGTGGGTACCGCCCCACGCGCGGTTGCCCTGCCATTGGCCGCGCGCTGGCCACGAGACCCGCGCGCGACGACTCCTCATGAAGTGACCATGATGTGCCCGTATGAACAGTGGGTCGGCAGAATGGAAAGGTGACCGACGGGTGCAGAGGTGGTGGCGGTGTCGTGGTGACGGCGGCTTTGCTAGCTCATGATGGTGGACATCATCCATGGCACAAATCGTTGTACACAGTTTGCGCATGTTCACGTGAGCCCCAGTTGTCATGCCAGAGCGGCAGCAGATTTTGATGTCGATTGCGTCGATCTGAATCGTGATCGCGGCCACGACGTTTCGTCTGATCGTCCTACTGTGGCCCCGAGGATCACGCTGATTACCGACAGTTTCTGTGGCTGTGGGGATGGCGGCGGTGGCCGAGACTGTTAGCTGCGAGTTGCCGTGATGTCCCCGACATTCGGGCGAGCAGAGGCACGGGGAGGGAATGGGCGCACGCTTGGCAGCTCGCCAACTTCTCCTCTCCGCCAGGCAGGCGTGTGCTGCAGGCGCGGGGTCTGGAGGGAGCTCGTGCCTGCTGACCGCTCTGCCCAGTCTGGCCCGTGGGGAGGCACCCCTCGGCACTGCGACACCTCGCTCGAATCCCCGGTGCATGCATCGCACGCTGTTGCAGAATGATGGTCGTCGGAGCGCCTACGGTTGGCCACGGCTCAGGCCGCGGTCTGTCTGCTCCGATCTTTCGCCTCTACGCCCTCTTCTCTTGGGGAACAAGTGCCCGCAGGGCGCTGTCCCTGTTCTGACCCAGTGGGAGGCGACCTCGTCCTCGCGGGCTGCTGCGGTGCAAGAGCGGCCGCCTTGCATCGATGCCCACACGCGAATCCATTCCGGGACCTTCTGCTTGGAACTCTTTCGCCAACGATGCCATTGGACGGGGGTAGTTCCAGGGAGGTCGCGACATGCCAGTTCAATCAAGGTAAATCAGGGCATCACAAATCAACGATACGTAGTTATAGCAGTGCGATATGGCGAAGCGATGCAAGACATGGCATACCAGTGCAGTGCACGGTCCGACTTGGTTGCGAGATTGGGGAGGGGCCGCGCCGCAAGCCACAGTGTGCCAAAACAGCGCAGCGCAAGGCACCACTCGGTAGAACGACGGCATCGCGAGTTGATCCAGCAGCGAGGCATGGCAAGGCACACACAAAAAGAGAGGCAACACATCACAAACCAAAAGTAAGGACCACGGTTTCAGGGCAGGGCGAGCAAGTCCGGAGGATGGGGCGGCAGCGGCGCGGGGCGCAAGGCGAGGCAGCACGGGAGCGGCACGGCAAGGGCACGCGCAGCCGAGCAAACTGGCAGGGCACGGTGGTAAAGCAGGGGGGCACGGCAAGGGGTGGGCATGGCAGTGCACAGTCAGGCATGGTGCGGCAAGGACCAGCACTGGAAGGTGATGCGAGGGAAGGCGACGAGGGGTCCAGGCGCAGCAAGGGAAGGCGTCACACTTCAGGGCAAGGCAAGGCGAGCAAGGCAAGGCGGGGGCGGAGGTCAATGTAGCGAGCAAGGCCAGGCGTGCAAGCCAAGGCGAGCTAAGCAAGGCAGGGCGAGCGGACAAGAACAGGGTTGACGACGTAATTGCTAGACTGGTTCCCCGACCTCCCCTCTTAGAACTATGATGCCGTAACAGTGGCTGGTGGCGTCATACTGCTGCTCTGCCTGTACCAATGCAGCCGAGGGTGCGACCTTTCAAAGATTCTGGGTGGGTTTAGCTCCTCTGCTGCGTAAGGGTGTCGCTCCTTCGAGCCCGCGTGCCCTCTCCTGAGGATTCCGAGCTTGCTGGGCCCATCGGGTGGGGCTCGCGAGTGGCCGCCCGAGCGGCGGAGCCACTTCCCATCCTCTTCCATATGTTCCCCTCGCTCCCTCCCCATCCGCTCCCTCTCCCTTTCCCTTCCATGCCCTCCCGTTCCCCTCCCCGCCCCTCCCCTTCCCAATCCGTTCCCCTCCTCAGAGGAGGCTCCTCTCCTCTCATCTCCTGTCCCTTCTCTGCGCCTCCCCTCCTCACCCTTCCCCGTCTTGTTATGGTCGCTTCTCCTTTCCTCCTCCTTTGCTATCCCTCGTGGCGTCCTCCCTGCCTGTCCTGTCACACGTCTGGGGCTTGGCCCAATACCAGATGATGAATCCGAGTATCCCGCCAGCGCTGCCATCAGATCATGGTGCTGAGCTTCCATATCTACCACAAGTTCGAAGCTTACTTTGCGGGCAGGCCAAGAGCGGCCACGCCCACCTACCACACGAAATACAAGCCGCAGCCCTCGTCGCGATGCGATGCTAGGGTCCTGGCGGTAGCTGAGTCATCGTGGATTCCAGCTACGTGCGCTCCTCTTCTTCCTTCTCTTTTCCTTCTCGGGAGAAGGAAGTGTTGCATTCGGTCACAGCAGAGTGCAACATCCACGGCTCTGACACCCACCACACGCAGCGCGCCGGGTTGCCAGCAACATGGCACCAGCAGCACGAGACTGGGCCGCACGATGTCGGCAACACAACATGATAATAATCTGTACGTATTGGGATCGGTTTCAGCTCTCTATTGGGTGGTGTGCGTGCCAGCCACAGGGACCAGAATTTTGCGTGCTGGCCGAGGCTGCGCGCGCCGCGGAACGCGACGGCGATTTCTGTCGCATTTGAATCTTCCTCGTCGTCCCCGTCCTCTCTCTCTCTCTCTCTCTTTTGATGCTTCGCTCTCTGTGCCTTCCTGGCATGCTAGGTGCTTCGCGCTGTCTCACCTGCAGTTCCGCCTCATGCGGTCCGCCGCGCGCGTTTCCTGCCCCCCTTGGTGCCATCCCCTGCGCACCTGGGCTGGGCCGCGCGCCCGACCGCCTGCCCGGGCAACGGCTGCCCGGTCGCGGCCGCCCCTCCGGCTGTCCAGGCAGCCGCTCCGCGCGGCCTCCGCCGCCGGTCGGAACTCCAGCCGAGCCTCCAGTCGTTTTCCCCCCTGCGTCGCATCCTTTCTGGAGCCGTGCTCGCCGTGTTTCTGTGTGTGTGTGTGTTTGAGTCCGGCCTGCTGGTGGGGCCTCGTGCTGCATGATCTGGCGTCCGCTCCCTCGCTCGCTCCCGCCCCCCCTCTCTCGCTCTCGTTCTCTCTTTCTGTCTCTCTCGGTCTCTTGTCTTCTTCGTCTTCACCGTGAGCTGATCGGGACGTGGGCGTAAGTTCTATGATTGTGCATGCCCATCGCTCCTCCGTCTTGGTCCCACGAGTGTCCTGGGCACTCCTGTGACGACGGCATCTGGCCACGGAATTGTAAGGCTCAGTGATTTCCGACGGCCGACTCATTCAGGTGGGCTCTTGTGGGGTGTTGCTAGAAGTGCCCCTGGCCCAAAATGCCCCTAGCTTTTCGCTCCATTTTAGAGAGCCCCTGGGGCCCCGTGGGCCTCGTGATGGAGGCCGCCTGGGCCACCCCGAGAATCCTGGAGGCACCTTGGGCCAGGGGTACTTCTAGCCCAACCTAATGTTGTGTGGAAGTGTTTGCGCTGAAGATTTAAGTCGGGTCTATCCCTCTACAGGAGGAATCTTCAAAAATAGTAAAAAAGCGAGTCTGGGGATGATTTTTGGGCTATTGGTGATTGTTTTTGTATATGTTTGACTCCGTTTCATGTTTCGTCCAAAACCAGCCTGTAGGAGGACATGCCCGACCTATGTTTGCGCTGTAGATGGACGTTATCGTCCTTCTCCTTCTCCCTCGCCCTCTCCTCCCCTGCGCCCTGTCTGCTGTCCACCTCCTGCCCCTTCCCTGCCTGCCCGCTCGTTCGTCGAGCCTCGGTCCTCCCTCCTCCCCGAGGGTTGGCCCTCGAGCGTCGAACATCCTCCTTCATCGGAGCCCAGTACTCGAACATCGATCCCCCTCTTGCCTCGAGCCTCGATCCTGGATCCTCGCTCCTCCTCTCCGCTCGCTCCTGGATCCCGGTCCTCCCCGCTCGCTCTTGCCCGAGCAGCACAGACTGCTGGGCGCCAGCGGCGCGGAGCCCGTGGCGCCCTCCTCCCCACAGGAGCTCGCCGCGGGTTTCGCTGTCCCTCGGCCGAGCGTGTTGCGGAAGGGCGGGGGTTCTGGGAGGCCAGGTCGGGGATTCGCGCTGCCTTCGCCCCTGTGATGTGGCGAGGGGTCCTGAGCTCGTTCTCCGTTTTGAGCCTCCATGGGGCTCTCCACGGGCCCTGGGACTGGCAGTGAACGGCTCAAGACGAAGAGTCGGTCCTGCCCTGGGGTACCAGATCCGCTTCCCTCAGGATCCGTTTACTTCATGTCAACTTCGCCCACCAGTCCATGTGGATGTCGTTCCCCAGAGCCACCTTGCTGCATCCCGGGCTCCCGCCCCCGCCGTGGACCGATCGTCCGTCGAGAGCTCAAGCACGAGACAGCGAATGGTACGTAGAGATTCTCTTGGTCCAGAGCTGCTGCGGGTGCCCTCGTGACGGCCTCCCGTCCCACCCCCCACCCCCCGAGGGCCAGCCAGCACGAGTCCGTGCAGCCTGACCGCTCGCTCTTTCGTGGCGGTGCCATGGTGCGCCCGAGGGATGGGCTTCGGATGGATCCGTGATCTAGAGGGGTATGATCTTCAGTATCGTTTAACCGACCCCCATCCCCATCCTCATCCCCTTCGAGACCCCCACCAAATTACCACCCCAGTTGGGGATACACCCCTCGAAACCCGAAGGGAACGGCTTATATCCCCATCTAGGGGGGTAAATCGGCCAATGGGGCCCAGGCCACGCCGCTGGGGATGGGGATCCGTTAAACGATGCTCAGATCTGAAGGGTTTGGGCGGCAGTTACCGGCGTTTTGCCGAGAGGACGCTCGGAGCAGAGGGGGGGGGATTGTGGATGCGGGCCCAAGCCTTGATACGGGTTGTATAAATCTGTGCTTCGCCGAGGGCTCCGAGGTGCCAGCCAAACCTGTTCTCGGCTGCCTGCCTAGACTATGGCAGAGAGGTGGAAGCCCAATTATGCCACTCATCGAGGCTGGTCAATGAAAAGTGTCCGACCGAAGTAAGTACCAGCAGTGCGCATACATGTATGTACGCATATGTGCCTGAGCCTGCGTGGGGGGGGCGTACTTTGAGTGCGAAGTGAATGCCTCGACAAGCTTTGCATGATCTTGTAGGGCAGCGCCTTGCTGCATCGCCTTCCTTGCGTCAACAGTTGCGGGTGTGGCAACGCGGTGCGATGCATCTAAGGATAGCTCGGATGGTCAGGAGACGGGACCGCGAGCGAGCAACGGCCGGCCGCAGTGCCTCCATTGCTCCATGCCTCTCACAAGAGGGTTTCAGTCCAGCGACAGCTGCAGGGATGGGAGCTGGGCTGCCACAGGGCAAAACACTTGGCCGCAGTGCCCCCTCAGTCAGTGTGCCTTCCAGGAGGCAGCACCGACAACTGCGGGGACGGAGGGGGGGGGGCGGGCGCCCGAAGGCATCGCCTGGTCGCAGAAAGTCTTTCAGCGCCTTTTTCTGGGGGTCGACAAGTGCAGGGGTTGAAGTAAAACGACGCGAAGATCGGGACAAAATCGGATCGGGATAACTCGAAATCTCTGAGAATCGGCGGGTTTGGAGGATGTATTGGGCGCCGCGGCCGCTCCAGAGCGTTCCGGAACACTCTGAGAGCGCTCCGGAACGCTCTGGAGCGATTTATCCCGATTCTAGCCCTGTTTTATGAAGCAGGGACCGATACAGTGCGGCACCCATGCCAAGAAGCACCTTGCTTGCTTCCAGGGTGCCATGGGTTTCTTGGGTCTCGATGTTGCTGCCATGGAGAGCGTAACGTTCCCACGCCTGAAGTCACTGGACGTCCTGGGGTCCCAGGCTTAGGCTTCTCGTCGAAGGCTTCTCGTGGGCCTCCGCCGTACAGTGCGGCACCCGATCGTGGTGCCCCACAGCGCCCCTTTCGACGTGGCCGACAGACGCAGGCCTGGGAGGCTGGGGACGCACAAGCAGGCAACGCCCAGCCTTAAGTTGGGCTTGTCCTTCTACAGGAGGAATATTCCAAAATAGTCCATAAAATAGAGTTCGGAGATGTTTGTTTCAATTATTGTTTCATTAGGTTCCCACATCCAAAGTGAGTTCTTGCTCCCCTGATCCAAAGTGGGGTTTTTGTTTCTCTGGACACCCCGCGCAAGAACACACAGGAACACCCTCTCTCTTCTCACTCACTCACCCACCACATACTCACTCACACACGCACACACTCACATCATCATCATCATCATCATCATCATCATCATCATCATCATCATCATCACCGCCATATTACCATCACTTACACACTCAGTCACTCACACCCTCACATTCACTCAGCATCATCACTCCTTTTACTCACACACGCTCATTCACCACCTACCACCCAATCACTCACACACATCATCGTCAGCATCATTATCATCGTTTGTCACCACATCCAAAGTGGAGTTTATGTTCCCACAAACACACCTTCTCCTCACACACATCATCACTCACACTCACCCACTCACCCACTCATTCACCCATTCGCACATTCACTCACACACCCATCAGCATCACACACTCACGGACCCACCCACTCACTCACCCACTTACCCGCCCATTCACTCACCCACACTTCCATCATCACCATCATCACTGTCATCATCATCATCATCATCATCATCATCATCATCATCATCATCATCATCATGATCATCACCATCGTTCCCCACATCCAAAGTGGGGTCCTTGTTTTCTTTGGACACCCCGCGCAGGAACACACAGAAACACCCCCTTTTTTTTGCATTCACACACTCACCACGTGCACACTCACTCACGCACGCAGACACTCACATCATCATCATCAACATCATCACCATCATCATCATCATCATCATCACCGCCACATTATCATCACTGACACATTCAGTCACTCGCTCACACACATTCACATCCACTCAGCATCATCTCTCCTTTTACTCACACACACACACACACATTCACTCACCACTGGGCACCCACGCGCTCACACACATCATCGTCAGCATCATCACCGTTTGTCCCCACATCCAAAAGTGGGGCGCTTGTTCCCCACAGCGAAAGTCGGTTTCTCGTTTTCTCTGCACCCCCCCCCCCCGCGCAGGAGAACACACCCTCTCTTCTCCTCTAACCGCACACTCATTCACTCAATCATTCACACACATCATCACTCACACTCACTCATGCACCCACTCACTCACCCACTCACACAGTCACTCACACACTCATCCTAATCACCCACTAATTGCGAGGAGGTCTCAGGCAGGAGCCCCTTTCTCCATGGGGCCCGCAGCTCACGTTTGTAATCCAAGCGGGGTTTCGGAAACTTGTAACCGTCGTCACTTTTGGGCCCTCTGAGGCTTGAATATGGAGGAAGTATCAGGCGGCATCCTCGTCTGTGAAGGAATTGCAAGGGAGCTCTGTTGGGGACCGCCCGGAGAGCTATTTAGCCGCTGGCTTCGCTGCATCATGCGAGGCGAGAGCCTTTGGCCTCGTCAGGCACGCGAGCCCCCGCTTCCTACCGCAGGGAATCTGGCTGCAGGTGCACGGTTTCAAGAGTCTCCGCTATACCAGGAGGTCGCCGCGCTGCTGCCACAGGACGCCGAAGGCGCCGACGACGACGGCGAGGCCGAGGCGCGGGCGTGGAGCTCGTTGATTTTCAGGCCCAGCGAGCAGGAGCTCTCGCGGCAGAGCTCGGGGCCGCGCGCCGCTCGGGGATCACCACGACGAACGCAACCTACCTCACCTCCACGCTGTCTCAGGGCCAGACGCCGCGCAAGGGCGTCACCATCGACTGCGCGAGAGACGAGGGCGCTGGCCGCACGGGCACGTCGGACGACCAGCGGTGGCTGCACATCTACGTCACGCTTCCCCGCGCCACGCCCATTCGGAACATGCTGATCCTGCGGCCGCCGCCGCGAGAGTTCCCGGGGCGCGGGCCGCCGGCGCCCTCGCGGACGGCGCCCCTCGAGTTCGACGTCAGAGCGGAGAGCTCCACAGCATCGGCGGGGCAGCTCGCGGCAGAGTTGGGCTCCGCGCTGCCCCCCACCTGAGCGCGGCAGCGCCCCGCTCGAGGCCCGCGGGGCTGCCCCGACGGCCTGGCATCGCGCGCCAGCGGCTCGCGGGGCTGCCCCGACGTCTTGGCCCGCGGGGCTGCCCCAACGGCGGCGCGACGTGGACGCGCCCGCGCTGGCCGAGGCGGCGACGGCGCCGAGGGAAATCGACATGCGCGCTCGCGCCAGGAAGAAGGAGATAACGCGAGGAGAGCGGGCGGGGGGGCGGAAGAGGAGGAGGAGGAGGAGGAGGAGGAGGAGGAGGAGAAGAAGAAGGGGGAGGAGGAAAAAAAACGACGGGGAGGAGGTGGAGGAGGAACGCGAGGAGGAGAGGGGGGAGGAGGAAAAGGAGGAGAAGGAGGAAGAGGAACAGGAAGAGGATCACACCTGCAACGAGTAGGACGACAAGGAGGAGGAGGAGGAGGAGGAGGAGGAGGAGAAAGAGGAGGAGGTGGAGGAGGTGCAGGACGCAGAGGGCGGAAGGAAGGCCTCCGCCAGTTGCAGAAGAAAAGGGCGAGGAGCAAGTTGAACAGGTTTTCGTGCGGGGTCCTCCCGTCGGAGCAAATATCATATTCGTTCACTCACTCACTCTTTCACGGACTCACTCACTCATCTCAGGCGGGAGCCTCGTACGTGGGCGAACTGAAATCTCAGGCGAGAACCCCCTCCCTATGGGCCCCACAGCTCAGTTTTGCAATCCGAGCGAGTCATCGGAAACTTGTAATTGTCGCCACTTCTGGGCTCCAGGGGCTTGAACATGGAGGAAGTATCAGGCGGGAGCTTCGTTTATGAGTGAATTGCGAGAAAGGCTCAGGCGGGAGCCTCCTCCCTATGGAGCCCGTAGCTCACGTGTGCAATCCGAGCGGGTTATCGGAAACTTGTAATTGTCGTCACTGTTGGGCTTTCTGAAGTCTGAATATGAAGAAAGTATTTGGCGGGAGATTCGACTGTGAGTGAATTGCGAAAAAGTCTTAGGCGGGAGCCCCCTCCCCATGGGCCCGCAGCTCACGTTTCTAATCCGAGCGGTTGATCGGAAACTTGTAATTGTCGACACTTTTGGGCTCCAGGGGCTTGAATGTGGAGGAAGTCTCAGATGGGAGCCTCGTCTGCGAGTGAACTGCGAGGAAGTATTAGGCGGGAGCCCCCCCCTGGGGCCCGCAGCTCACGTTTGTGATTTGAGCAGGTTATCGGAAACATGTAACTGTCATCACTTTTTGGGTTCACGGGCCTGAATATAGAGGAGGCATGAAGCGGGAGTTTCGTTTGTGAGTGAACTGCGAGGATGTCTCAGGCGGGAGCCCCCTCCCTATGGGGCCCGCACTTCATGTTTGTAGTCCGAAAGTGTTATCGGAAACTTGTGTCTGTCGTCACTTTTGAGCTCTTCAGGCTTGAATATGGACGAAATACCAGGCGGCATCATCGTCTGTGAATGAATTACAAGAGAGCTCTGTTGGGGGCCGCCCGGAGAGCTATTTGGCC